GTTTGGGGTTTTGAAACCTCTTCCCTGACAGAAAGGTCCTCGGGGGCGGGGGGAGAAGGAGGAGAAGGAGAAGGAGAAGGAGAAGGAGAAGGAGAAGGAGAAGGAGAAGGAGAAGGAGAAGGAGAAGGAGAAGGAGAAGGAGAAGGAGAAGGAAGGAGAAGGAAGGAGAAGGAGAAGGAGGAAGAAGAGCAGGAGGAGGAAGATGAGAAGGAGGAGGAGGAAGATGAGGATGAGGAGAAGGAGGAGGAGAAGGGGAGAGGAGGAAGAAGAGCAGGAGGATGATGAGGAGGAGGAAGGTGCTGCCCCATAAACCACACAGGTTTTCAGTGCTGTAAGCAGCTGTCACAGGAGGAGTGCCTCCAAGAAAAAATGTAAAAAAAAAATCAAACCAAAACCCAAAAAACCTGAAACATTAAAAAAAATTAATATAACATTAAAAAAAATAAATGTAACATCTATTTTTACTACACTTATGTTTAAATTTACATACTTTATTAATTTATATATAACACATAATATATTAAAACATATTCCTCTCCAGGTAAAGAGCATCCTGGATGGGAGCAGAGCCCCGGAGCCTCCGGACAGCCCCAGGGAGGAGGATTTGGAGCATCCCCCGGGCACCGCTGCCAGCTCCCCTCCAGCGCAGCCCTCCCCGGCCCGCAGGGACAGGAGCCTCGTCACCTGCCTGCTGGGGCTGTGCCAGAGCAAGGTGCGGCCGCAGGGGCGGCACCTCAGGGCCAGCGGGCACTGCCAGCCGTGTGATGACCCCTGTGTCCCCGTCCTGTTCCTCGCAGAAGAGCCGGCTGGCGCTGAAGGCGCGGGAGAACCTGCTGCTGCTGGCGGGGCTGCGGCAGGAGGCGGCTGCCAGCTGCCTGGTGAGGGGCAGTGCCCTGTGCCAGCTGCTCGCGGGACACCTCTGTGACCTCTACAGCGCCGTGCCCGCTGGCACCGACCCCGCCGATGTCCTCGCCATGGACAGGGGCAGCTGGAGGTGAGGGGGCGCCGGGCTGGGGGTCCCGGGTGCCCCCCAGGCCGTGTCACAGCCCCGCGTTCTCCGTCCCGAGCAGGGCGCAAGGGGATGGTGCCGGGGACGGGGCTTTTCCCGGGAAGGAGAGCCTGGCTGAGTTCCTGAGCTGGCTGGACTTCGTGGATGAGCTGGTGATGGGCGCCCACCCGGTGAGAATGGCGGGGTTAATTAATCCTGGGATTAATTTGTGCCCGATCCCCCCGCTTGTCAGCAGCCCAGAGCGCTGAGTGCCGCGTCACCTCCAGGGATGGGAATCCACCGCTCCCCTGGGCAGCCCCATTCCAACATCCAGTCACCGTTTCCGTGAAGAAATTCTACCTAATCCAACCTCAGCTTCCCTGAAGACGGGGCCCTCTTGTCCTGGGGGGTCCCCACTCTCAGCCCCTCCCTCCCCCGCAGCTCGTGGCCGATGCCATCACCGAGGCCGTGGAGGAGAAGTTTTTCCAGGGAATCCTGCAGCCGCAGCTCCTGCAGATGTGAGTGAGTCTGGCCGGGCTGTTCCGCTCCTCAGGAGCCTCCGGGGAGCCGGGAGCAGGGGGTTCCCGTTTTCCCATGGATTCCCACCCCCTGTCCCCCCGGCAGGTCAGAGCTGGCCGTGCTGGGCACCACGGCCGTGCTGACGGGCACGGTGCGGCAGCTCCG